ATGACAGCAAACATCATCTTAGCATAGAATTCATAGGTAGCTACATGTTTCGCTGTACTAAACTCGGTGTTTGGAAGGAAAACGAAATCTTGGGGCAGAATTAGGTGCAAATTCACCGCGATCGTTGTCTCGTCTGAGGCAGTCCGTATCAGTCTGGCGTCCCAGATACATTGTTGCCTGTTCCATGCAGTTGGAAATAAGAAACTCGAGCGACTATCGCACGTTTTCGAACAAACTCTTCTGTATAACCAAATACCAATCTACAGATGAGACAAGTGTGGAGTTTTCGTAGCCCCATTCCAAGTTTCATATGATCAAATGCTTTGGAAAATTTCAGGTATATATCACGTACACTGCTTTATTTCAACTGTTTTTCCGTTCCTTCCAGGCCATAGGTAAATTGATGTACAACCGCATTTACCAACGCCCATTCCCCGCTGTAAAGACTATGTTGTGGTTTTCGAAATGATTCATCACAGTCTGCAACAATAGAGTTCTCTGACTTGAACAATACGGGCAATATCGAGGCGGTAGTTGATCGGGTTATCTCGATAGTCGAATTGTAAATACGCGAGATAACTACTTGTTTCCATGAGTTTGGAAGTGCAGTGTTGACCAAAGTTTATTGGAATTGCTCTCTCAATAGATCAGTTATGTTAATCGCCAGAAAGATAAGGGTTTGAGAAAGTTATGTGCACCTAGAGCTGACTTTCTTTTCAGAGTCAATGGTTTTGATTCCATCTTTAGCGGTGGGTTGAGATATTTGTGCCTAGTTTTGAATGTGGAATCTGATCTAGCAACTAAAAACATTTAAGCTCTACGTTAGCATACAGACTTTATAGCATTTCAATAGCTTCCTTAGTTTTGGCTGAAACACGTCCAGGCAAACTTAGCTTTGAAACACCAAATTTAACTTTTCGGTGGACGTTACATGTTTATGCAACAGTTTTGGGTTTGATACAAACTTATGCATCACCAGACACATCGGTTTATCTTCCTATGCCAAAATTGTGCAGTGGTTTAAAGGGAGACTGTAGCTATTGGATGTGCTATGACAAGGAAGTAATTTGTACTCTCCCCAGGAGAAACTTGAAAAATTCCCCTTTTTCGTTCGACTGTGAATGGGTGGATAGTAAATTCTTACCATAATATCAAGGGATCACATTGTTTCTGAAAACCCACTGGATGTCGAACGCTGCAAAAGCAGGTTTTATGTAGTTGAAAAACGAGGGCATGCCATTCTATATTACGTCCTCGTCATGCACAGGTAGGATCGAATTCCGGACAAGGGTAATAAGAGTACTTGGGTCGGTATTCTTGGGGTTAGCGCCTCAGTAGTCGTATGAAAACAGCGTCTGTCGTCATACTGACTCTTTCAGCAGTAAAGTCTGCCGTAGGTGACAAAAGTGACTGAAGATTTTTGCTAGCTGGATTTTCTCGTGCATTCATTAATCTTACATTTTTGTTTAACGCATTCTCTGAGCAAATACAGATGGATCGATCGGACGACGTGTACTGAAAGGATACATGGTTTGAACAATACCTACATTTTACTGGCATTGCTCTAATGGGATCTAAGGATAGCCCAGTACGAACGCTCCTCTACAGAGCGCGAGAGGTAAGCACAGAAGATACCCTGGATAAAGAAAATGAAGAATCTAGAAAAATGTTCCAATCAAATGGAAATCTGAAAGTGTTCGTTTCAAAATACTCGGAACCCAACACGGGAAAAATGACACATGCAGGTAAGATGAGAGTGACCTTGCAACTTCCCTTCAAAGGTGACGATAACTAACTGACCCATTAACAGGCGGTTAAAGCCGATCGTTAGACGCACCTACTATACAGCTGCAAAATGTTTTCAGAGCCATCCGATGGAAAACCTAATATCTCTCCACCTCAAATCCAACTACATCTATCGACCCGACTGATCGCGGTTCGAGTCCTGACAGGGACACAAAAAGTACGCACTGCTGACGAGTCCCAAACAGGACGAAACAGCTGTCCAGTGCTCTTTATTGAGATAGACATAGTTGCGTTATCAGGTAACCGAACACATCTCGGTCTGGCTTCAGAAAACAATGAGCATGACGTCACCAATGACCCATAGAAAACTCAGTTCATCCATCGCACAACACACGGTCGAAATAAACAGTATCATACTGAGAGACGCACTCAAGAACCCCACAACATAAACAATACCAGGCTTCTCAAATACGCCAAGGCATCAGCCATTCAAAATTACCATTTCCTACAGTGCAAAGTGCGTGAACGGCTTATCACTCAGACTGCCTTGGTAACAGATGTGCATATAGCGATGTTCATGGCAAAATATCTCGGTCTGAGATCCTACATTCTATGACCCTAAATTAATGATCACTTTAACTGCAACACGCAAAAGCAAAACTGTTTTTTGTTTTTTTATTCAAATTTGTTATGAGGAAACCGTGCTTTTAAATACGTTTTACTCTATATTCAACGAAATCTGATCATAAAGGCTTAATGGTGGATTTAAAGGAAATATTTGTTAGGCTACGCCTAGGTTTTTGGATTAAACAGTAGGATTATTGTGCAATAAGAAACACCTCGCAGTTTTCTATGAGAAACATCTGATTAGATATAGTGAAAACAATCCAGATGCTTATTCTATAGCATAGTTTGCTGTATTTTATATTGAAAACGATGACAAATAGCAGAACGATACATAAACTATATTTCACCTCCACCACTCAGCGTCATCCCAGCAAAGAGACTCGATGCTTCGAACCCGGAGACAACAATGAACAACCAGAGGATGTGATAAATATCTGGTTTTTCATTACAGTCGTATTGCTTAACTCGTGGATTCAGGAGACTTGACGCCCCAAAACATTTAACGAACCACAACATCGGTGCATCTCAAATTACTTCGCCATTAAGTGTATCTCTATGCACTTTGGCACTATTCACGATTTCCTTCAATCAACCATTGCATCGTTTTCAATTGGTTTAATGTGAAGCTTAATCAGAAAGCCAGGAACAGTACAAAAGAATATTGGAATGTGCAGATATGCACCACTGCTCTTCTATTTAATGACAGGTCAGGAGAGTAAGCTGAGTTAATTCAGTGGAGTACCCAGTCTCTCGTTCTCGCAAGCTGATCAGACTTGAACAATCAATACTGAGTGGCAAATTACGAGGACACGATAGTCATACAGGAACTAGCCAGTTTATTAAAA